TGTCACCCTTCCATCCTGTTTCACTGCCTCCTTGCTCCTCTGTCACCTTGCTCCTCTGTCACCCTCCTCCCCTGTCACCCTGCTCCACTGCCATCCTAGCTCCCTGATACCCTGCTCTCTGCCACTCCTCTCCCACGGCACCCTGTTCTCCTGCTCCCCTTTCATCTCATTCCTTGCCACCCTGATCCACTGTCACCCTGCCACCCTGTTCCCCTGTGACCCTGCCACCCTGTTCCCCTGTTTTGTTGTCACCACACTCCATGCAACCCTGCCCTTCTGTCACCCCTCTCCCAATGCCATCCCCACTCCCTGTGCCACTCATCTGGTGCTCCACAGGGTGCTCGTGCCCCTGCTTCTGCTGGGCACATCCAGACCAAACCAAACCAAACCAAACCAAACCAAACCAACCAAACCAAACCAAACCAAGCTGCCGACTTCACCAGGCAAAATTTATTCCTGGCGTTTTCCCGGGGGGCCAGCGGGGCTGGCAGCTGGCAGGGAGCAGAGCGTCCCTGCTGCCTCCAGCCCAGCAGCCTCCCTCTTTCCTGCAGCTGAGGAGCTCATCTCCCTCGCCCAAGGCGCTCCATCCTCCTCCAGATATTTTAGGCCCAGGTTTTGCAAGGAATGTTCAGGCGCTGAGCCCAAGCCGATGCGCTGAAGTCAGCAGGAGGCGAAGAGGGAAGAGGAAAGAGGGAAGAAGAGAGAAGAAGGGAGAGTGTGCGTGGGGCTCGAGGCCCTGGAGGCAGCAGCTGAGGGGTGGGGTGGGATGGGATGGGATGGGATGGGATGGCATGGCATGGCATGGCATGGCACAGCATGGTGCTCCCTCTGCCTGAAGGTGGTTTAGCGGTGGCAAGGGCAGAGGATTGGAGCTGGAGGATGCCAGAACTGCTTCCGTCTCCCTCTGAGAGGATCAATACCAGATTCTGCCTCTCCTCTGTCTCCCCGCATTGTGCCAGGCCAGGCTGCTCCCAGCATGTCATGGGATTTGGAATGGGAAGAGGGATGCCCAACACTGTCAGTGCCCTTCACTGGGCAGGAGAAGGAGATGCTTTTGCCAGGGTGGTCTCCTGCAAACACCTGCCCAGACCCACCTTAGCACCCAGGATCTCCAAGCCAGCCTCATCCCTGCACATCAATCTTTGCATGCACACCAAACCCTCCCTGTGCACATCAATACCTTCCTCTGTACCAAACCCTGCCTGCAAACTAACCTCTGCCCATGCACACCTATCCCTGCCTGCACCGCCTGCCTTGTACACCAAATTACCTGCACGGCAAACCCTGCCAGGCCACCACTGCACACCAAGCCCTGCCTGCACAGCCAGTGTTTGCCTGCGCACCAAACCCTGTCCACACGCCCCACCTGCACACCAAGCCCTCCCTGCACACCAAACCCTGCCTGCACAGCCAGCACCGCCGACGCTGCCCATGCACGTGCTGACAGCTCCCACTCGCACTCCCCTTCCCGCCGCACCCCCTGACCCCCGGCATCGCCCCAAACACCATCACCTGCGGCACCGGGCATCACCTGGCAGCGCCAGGGCAGCCCATGGCCCCCGAGCCCTCTCCCGGCCGAGGGAGTCCCCGGCACACGCCAGCCCTGTCCCGGCCCCGCTGGCAGCCGCGGCCGACGTGCTCCGACAGGTGAGCCCCCGGGGCGGCGTTCCTGCCCGGGCCGGCAACTGTCCCCACCGGGCAGGGCAGCCGCTCTGCCGGCGTGTTCCTTCCAGCACGTCCCTCCCTCCTTCCCTCCGCATGCAGCCTCTCTCGGCCGGCGAAAGGGGGGAGCCGGCAGATTTTAATGAGCTCCCCGGAGGCATCGCTCCGCACCCCCCGTCCTCCCGCCTCTTCCCGCGCCCGGGAACCGATGCTCTGAAACACAACCCTCGGTGGCAAGCCTGGAAAAAAACCACAGGGCACATTTCCCCCCGCCTTTTCCCTTCCCTCCTCGCCTCCCCCAGCTTTTTTTTGCTCTCCTGCCGATGCCAAAGACCCAGCCGGGCTCTTGTGCTTTCACTCGCAGCTGCAGCTGCCGATTTTCGCTGTAAGCCCTTGTGCCTAGAAGGCCCAGAGCGAGGGATTCTGGGACGCGGTGATTGAAGACAGCACCAGCACGGAGACCATTGCTCAGACTTTCCCTGTCTGTCGCCCCAACGCTCAACCCACAGAGAGGGAGGGAAAAAAAAAAAAAAAGAAAAAAGGAGGAAAAAAAAAAAAAAAAGAAAGAAAGATGGAGAAGGGAAAAAAAACCCCACCGGACTGGCGCTCGCCCCTTCCCACCCACGCCATGAACGCGCTCGGCTGTGCCAGCGCTGAGCACCGGGCAGGCAGCACACAGGGATGGGCTGGGCCCCCCAGCCCTGTGACACCCTGGTGAACTCCGAATCCAGCACCAAATCCCACCAGAAGTGCGCTGGATCCCTCCCACTGCTCAGCCCACTGTACATCACCCTAAAAACTCCCAGTGGGGAGCTAAGCACAGCCCAGTTATTTCCCTTTTGTGTTATTTTAAAGGAAAATAATAACAAGGCATTTTTCGAGCCACTGTCTGCAGCACAAGGTGAATATTGGGGTGTGGGTGCGAGGGGTGGTGACAAGCGAGCACGATGCCAGGTCCTCGTGGGAAGCTGAACGCTCACCACAGCACTGCGCCTGCCAGGATGTGCCCCAGAGCCAAGCAAACACCCTGGGAACGCGTCCCCGTGTCCCCACCGCACGCAGAGGAGCAAGGTCCCCAGCACCCCGGGCGTCCCGACATGCCTGGGGAGGCCCCACGGGATCAAATCCCTGCCCTCCAGCACAGGGCCAAGGCTCGGCTCAGCATGCGCCCCGAGGCAGAGCGGGAACAACTCCAGCCGGGACAGACGGACGGACACGGATGGGAGAGAGGGAACCAGGCTGTGACCCCGTGCACCCCAGCGCCGGCAGAGCAGGGGCTGTGCGGAGCATCTCCAGGCCGGCTGAGCCCTCTCATCCCCAAAAGCTCCCCCGGCACCCCCGGCTCCCCCGGGAGCGCGGCCGGAGCGCAGGGCGCATCCCGGCCCCGAAGTTTGGCGGGCAGCGGGGCGGGGAGGGGACGGCGGGGGGGGAGGACACACATCTGCGACGCATTCGGGGGCCATCCCGCATCCGGGCCGCCCGGCCACAGCCCGGCATCCAGCCGGCCGGCCCCAGGGGGGAACGCTGCCATATCACCAGGCAAAAATCCCCCCCGCATCCCTCCCGCTCCTGTTACCGAGCCCGGAAGAAGGAAACAGCCCTCCCCACCGCTGCCCTGTTTACCAAGAGCTGGTTCCAAGCACTCGGGAGAATAGCAGGAGCATTTCAAGGCCCTGTTTCCACTCGGCTGACACACACTATTTATAGAAGCCCACAATTCTCCCAGAGCTTTCCTCGGGATCTCAGCAGAAATAGCCTGCCCCGGGTCTCTGCTGCCTCCTCTAAGGAGGCCAGGGCAGCGCCAGCCCCCCCAGGCTTCCCGTAACCTTCCATGGGCTTCCATGGCTTCTCCTCCGCCGGCCGCCCCGCTCGGGGATGTCCTTGGCTACCCCGCGGCCGCCACGGCGCCAACCCCGCTCCCCCAAAGCACCTCCGGGAGGGAAGCGGGCCGGGGCTGCCGAGCGAGAGCCACCTCCCGCCTGACTGCATCGGAGCGCGGCAGAGCCCCGGGGGACTCGCACCGGGGATGGAGTTGGCCTATTCAGGTTACAGAGACATGGCAGAGCGGAATTTGGCGCCGCGCCATCCCTTCTCCAGCCCCCCCCTCCGCCCTCCTCTTCCACCCCCCGCTCCCCACCACCACCACCACCCTCCCCTGCAAATTCCACAGCCCAGCAGGAGAAGCCAGTGTAAGGGGACACCTGGGGGGGCGAGCAAAGGGGGAGAGGCTTGGGAGGGGGGCCTCGATTCAGACCACGGGGCCCCGGTTTGGACCACGCGCCCCCGACCCAGAGCACGCCGGCAGAACAGGGTGGGAAGGAGAGCGGGGCAGGATCCGTGCCCGGCGCCCCGGGGGTTCGCTTCTGCTCTCTGTCACGCCAGGATAAATCTGGAGCGACTCCACCGCGCGCTGTGGCACACAATGAGCTCACCCCGCCGCTTTTGGGGGGCTCTCCCGGCAGCCGCGGCCGGGCGCGCTGCACGCACGAGGCCACCCGGTCGTGGGCACGGCCACGTCGTCCCCCCAGCACATAAACAAGCGGGGACTCAGGTGTCTCCACCTGCGCCGGCCTTGGGAACACCAAGCGCGGAGGGTCTGGCGTCAGCGCGACCCTGCGGGGCGACTCCGGCCCCCGCCGAAGCCACCGCGGTCCCCCGTGGTCCCTGTCGCCAGCAGCGAGGGGCCGCGCGGGGGGGCGGGGGGGTAAATCAGCTGATCGATAAAAACAAATCAGAGGGGGATGACGGGCACGGGAGTAACAACCGCTCGCCGAGCCCCGCGCCGCGGACCGCGCAACTTCACCGGCGGGGCTGGGGGAGCCTCCCGCACGCCCCGGGCCCCGCAGCCTCCGGGGAGCGCCCCCGCGGGCAGCCCCGCTCCCCCGGGCCGGCCCGCCCGGGCACGGCGCCGCGAGGCTGCGCCCTGGGGGTGCCCCCGCGCTCCGGGGAGCCCCCCGAGCCCCCCGCGCTGCCGACGGGCTCTGCCTTCTAGCGGCCGGAGCCGGCTCTGACAGCTGTCACTCACCGCTCGCGCCCGGGGGGGCACGGCCGGGGGTGTCCGGGGGGAGCGGCCGAGCCCGCGGCCGCGGAGCCCCCGCGCCGTGGGGGGCTCGCCCCGGGCCCCCCGCGCCCCGCGCCCCTCCCCACCGCAAGTGCCATTAAACTCCGGCAATTTGGCACCAACTCGCCGCGCAACTTCGGCGGAGGGGACGGCGCGGGGGGGGACACATGCACGCGACACGCCGCCTCCTCCCCCCCCCGCTCTGCCCGAAGGGGGTGTCCCGAGCGTCCTGCCCCCCTCGCAGCCCCGCACAAAGGCGGGGGTCCCCGGTACTCACCCGCCGGCTCCTGCGCTCCGCGCCCCTCGGAGCCCGCCCGCTTGGGGAGGCTCCTGCCGCCCGCCGGGGCTGCGTCCTGGCCGGCCGCGGGGGTCCCGGAGCCCTCGGCACCGCTCGCCACCTTCAACGAGAGCATTTCCAGCGCCTCCTGCTCACATTCTCCCCAGGCAACTCCGCTCCTGCCAGCCCGCCCCCTCCTCCGTCCCCTGCCTGCTCTTTCCTCCTTCCCTCTCCCCCCCTCCACCCCTCTATTTTATTTTTTCCGGGATTTTCTCTCCCCTCTACCGCTTAGCTTATTTTTTTCCCCTTTTTTTTCCTTTTTTTTTTCTCCCCCTTTTTTTCACCTTTTTTTCCCCCTTTTTTTCCTCCTCTTTTTTTCTCCCCCCCCCCCCTTCGCCTCTCACACACACACAAAAGGCAGCGGAGCGGGAGGCGGAGGGGAACCGACCTCCCCTCTGCGCCTCCGCCGCTCGCCGCCTGCGGAAAGCAAAGAAAGACACAGCGCAGCAGAGCCCTGGCTTGCCGCTGCCTCCCCCCTTCCTCCTCCTCCTCCTCCTCCTCCTCCTCCCTCCTCCTCCTCCTCCACCACCACCTCCTCCCTCTCTCTTGCCTTCTGCCGCTCCCGGCTTTGTGGGGGCTGGGATAAAAGGGGGGGAGCAGAGCCGGCGGCCAGGCGCGCCCAGCCCCTCGCTCCTCTCTCGGTGCGCGGCGGGGACCGCGGCTCGGCTCCGCTCCGCTGTCAGCGGCACGGCCAGCATCCGGCACCCCGGGGAGCCGTGCAGCACCGCCGGGGCATGCCGGGCCTTGTAGTCCTTCCTTTCCCCCCCCTCTTTTTTTCCCCTCCTTCCTTCCCCCACCTTTTTCTCCTCCCAGTCGCTGCGAGGCGCGCAGGGAGGGGCGCAGACGGGCGCGCGGCCGCCGAGCGCCGCCCTGGGAGGGGGCTCCTTGCAGAGCGGGGACACTTTGGGGGGACACCCGGGGCAGGGCCACCCCCCCGGGCTGCCCCCGCTCGCCGCGGTCCCGCCGGGATGCGCGGGGCATTGCTGCCCTCTCCCGGGGTGCGCCCGCACTGCGCGCCCCCTCCTCGGGGAGGCAGGGCTTGGGCGCACGCACAGGGCTCTCTGCAGCCCCCTCCCCACAACCTGGGGAGCGCGGGTTCGTGGCTGTCTGCAGGGCAGCACCCCTGCGCCCTCGTGCACCCCACGGAGCTGAGTGTGCCCGGGGTGCCCAGGGTGCCCATGGAGCTCAGTGTGCCCAGTGTGCCCGTGGAACTGAGCGTGCCCACGGAGCCCAGTGTACCCATGGAACTGAGTGTGCCCACGGAGCTCAGTGTGCCCATGGAGCCCAGTGTGCCCAGTGTGCCCGTGGAGCCCAGTGTGCACATGCAGCCCAGTGTGCCCAGTGTGCCCACGGAGCCCAGTGTGCCCATTGAGCCAACCACATCCGTTTTTCCTTTTCCCCCGCCTCCCCAACTTTTAACTCTTTTTTTTTTTTTTTTTTTTTTTTTTTTTTAATCAAAAGCTCTCTCTGAATCCTAGCAATATCCCCGCTGTTAGCTAACACCCCGCTCCTCCAGTTTTTTTGTGTCCCCTCTTGGCCATGTGATAAGGGAATGCCAGGTGGAAAGGTGGTGAGCAAGGCCCCTCGGGACAGTGGTGGCAGAGCAGGAGGCTGTATCCCAACTTCCTGAGCGCCCCATAACCTCCCTCCCCACAGCTCCACGGAGCATCTCCCCAGCACCAAGTCCCGACGCTGTTAATGTTCCCAGAGCTGGGTAGATACAATACAATTAAAGTAGATAATACCAGTGATGTTTGTTATGACATCGTGGTTTTGTGAGTGACGAGTGAAGGGTTAACTCCAGGGAATTGGGAATATTGCTTGGCTGCAAATAACACGTGAGTCATCGATGGAATAACACATGGGTGCAGGGAGAGACACAGCACCTGGCTTTACAGCAGCCCTTTGCCTCGCCAGTGTGGGGCACGCTGGGGTTTCACACGTGTTTTTGGATCAACAGGCAGCGAGGAGGGAATCTGAGCTCCAGACACACTGCTCACCCCAGCTTCACTGCTAAACTGGGATGAACTGGTGAGCTTGGGAGCTGTCCTCCAGCTGGGACCTACTGCAACTGGAAAGGTGCAGCTGCATCCCCTTGGTGCGCCCCAGCAGTATCAGCGTGGCCGGGTTTGGGGCTGGCTGGGCTCTGCACACCAGGGCAGGCATGGGGAGCAGGCTGCGCTGCTCCTGGGAGCCAAGCAGAGTGCAGGCCTGGGCTCCAGCCCGGTCAGCAGAGGAATCTGCACACGCAGACAGGATCGCTGCAATTGCTGGTGGCTGAGTGAGCAACTTTGCAGGCTTCCTCGTCCCCTCGCCCTGAATGTCAGCTTTGAATTTTCTTGCTATTTTTAGGGATGGTTCAAAAAAAAAAAACACCGAGGAGTATCCCCTCCCTTCTGGCTTTGCAGGGCTCTGTGCCCCATGAATATTGCAAGGCTGTGGATTACTGTACCTGTGCAGGGACGGGGGGAGAGGGACAGAGGGACAGGGCAGGGAAGAGAGAGAGGTCGTGCAAAACCCATGACATTGCAAGCAGAATGGGTTAGAATGTAAAAGATTTATTAATTTAATCCAAAGCATTAAAAGGTCATGTATTAATCAAAGAGATGCTTAAAACTGTCAAAGTCCTTTGTCAGGTTTGAAGTGCATCTCTATAGTTATCATAAAATATATATACCGGTCTGGCATGGAGCCCCGGGCAGGGCTGGAGGAGGACGAGGAGTTGAGTGGGGGGCTTTGCAGTGGGAGGGACGCCCCCACCGGCCCTGCCGGGCTCCCGTGGGTGCCCAGCACCCCACACTGGGCTGGGTGGGTCACCCTGCTCGTGCCCACGCCTGGTTTGATCCCTGCTCGTGCCCTGTGCGGTTTGGGGGTGTTCGGGGTCTGAGTTTGGAGCAGAGGTGGGCTGGCAGGGGTGTCCCGCACTCGTCCCCGCGGGCACAGGCGGCTCCGGCCGCGGCAGCGGGCACCGGGCGGGTGAGCGGTGCCCGCGCCACCCGTGTCGCGCTCCGCGGGGCGCAGCCCTGCCGGGATTTCCCTTCGGGCGGGTCCCCGGGGCCGCCCGGGTCAGCGGGCGCGCTCCCCGCCGGTGCTGTGTCAGCAGCGTTGGCGTGAGCTAACGCTACCATCTAGCGGCTGCTCCGCCGCCGGCCCGGCCCGACCCCGCACCGCCCCCGAGCCGCCCCGAGCCGGGCCGGGCCCCGAGGCTGAGCCGGGCCGGGTCACCCCCAAAGGCACCAGCCCGGGCTGGGAGCAGGGGGCAGGAGGCGCTGGGGGGCTGTGGGGAGAGCTGGGGCGCGGGGATGGAGGGCGAGGAGACAGGGGAAGGGTTTGATGCTGTGCTGGGACACAGGAGCTGCCCTTGTAGGGAGCACTGTCCAGAGACCCTGATGGGGCCGGGGGGGGGGGGGGGGGGGTCCTGACCTTCCAAGGTCTGTGAGAGTTGTGGCCAGCCAGGTTTTGTCTCCATGAAGGTAACTGCGGCAGAAAAGCCCAATTCGTGCCTGAATTCCAGCACCAGGCAGCCCTGGAGCAGCAGCAAAACCTTTCCCAGTTTCTCCCAATAAAACCATTTCCGAGCAGCCCTGAGGCCAGCAGAGCAAGGCTCCACTGTGCCCCTCCCCATCTCCCGTGTTTGCTCTGCCACCTGACCATTCCCACGCCCAGGAAACCTCCATCCCAAATCCACAGACTGCTGTCGCAGATGCTGCTGTTGTCAGTGCACAGCTCTTCCCAATTATCTGTTGTTTTTCCGTGGAAAAAGGTGTCCCCTCACAGTGCCTGCTGCTGGGCTGCTGGGCGACTGCAGATAAATCCATCTGTGCCTCAGTTTCCCCTCTGAGGGGACAGTGCCTGCAGGCCTGGGCCGGCAGGCTCAAGCCTGGTCAAGCCTAAACCCACATTTTTGGCCATTTTCCACTGTTGTCTGGCCACTGTTGCTGCTGCGACGTGGCTCTGCTCCACGGCCCAGGGCTCTGCGGGCTCTGCCAGTCCCTGGGGGCCGGGGGCACAGGGCTGAGCCCCCGCCCTGCTGCGGGTGGGGGTGGTCCTTGGGGGTCCCGGGGGTCCCCAGCAGCACCGGGGGCGCAGAGGGAGGGTGGCACTGGTGCTGCCCGTGCCAGGCTCTGCAGCGCCAGCCATCTGCAGCATCCCCACACTGTGCCCTGGCACCAGGGGGGCTCACTGCCTCCAGACCCCCCCGTGCTGGCAGAGCAGCCAGGCACAGCCGGGCCACCTGGGCCGGGCAGGTGTGCGGGCAGGAATGGGGCGAGAGGGGTCGGCATGATGGCCACGGGGGTCCCAGAGCACTGGGGGGACCTGGGGGCGCTGGAGGGACCCTCGGGGGCAGGGCAGCGCCGGGGAACGGGGCTGGGCTGCTCTCTGTCCCCTCTGGAGCTGGGCAGGGACCGGCCAGCCGGGAGGGGAAGGGGCCGGAGCGCAGCCCCAGCTCTGAGCTCTGCTCTGCCCCTCGAGCCCCCAGCTCTGGGCTGTGCTCTGCCCCTCCAGCCCTTTGGTGGAGAGGGTATTTTCATGGGGGCACTGGCAATGTGCCATTGTCAAACCACGACGAGCCCCCAGCTCTGAGCTGTGCTCTGCTCTCCCCCTCGAGCCCCCAGCAAGCTCTGAAGCAAACCAAGCCTGCAGCACCTTCGGAGGGTCCTGGCCTCCCTGCCCACCTGCCCATGGCTGCTGGCCACAGGGTGGGCCCCGCTGGGAGCCGCAGGAGCTCTGTGAAGGGCGAGCCCGGGCTGTGCCCACCCACAGCTGCCCCTCCACCCCAATCAATACTGCTCAGCATTAACATAAGATCGATGCCCCCCCCTGCCCAGCCTGGGGTCACCCTGCAGCAAAATCCTCTAAGCCCCTCACCCTCCTGCTGGGGGAGGAGGAGGATGAGAGGATGGGGACCAGGACGGGGGTCCCCCCTTCAGCCCCCTCACACAGGCGCCTGCAATCTCAGGCCCCACATCCCCAAGAGCCTCCACAGCAGTGACGGCAAAATGGGGACACGCTCTGGTGACATGGCCGTGGTGGCACAGGGGTTACTGTGACACATCCACCCGGGTCCTGACCCATTCCTGCTGCTGGCACTGCTGGGGACAAGGGGCTTGGCTGGGACATGGGAGGGTGGCATCGCTTCAGGTTGGGCTGGACAGAGAATGGTGGGATCAGCCCCTCTGAGGGCGTGAGCAGGTGGCAAGGGGCAGGAGCAGGGATGGAGCTGGGGCTGCTGGTGGCAGCCAGGCCCCTCCTGTCCCTGCCGCGCCATCTGCCCTGTCCCCAGCCCCGGGCAGCCTGCCACCCTCCTGGCTGGGCCTGGCCCTTCCCCTGGGCTCGGGTAGCAGGGGCACGTCCAGCCCTGCTCCTCTCCACCACCATGTGCATCCAACGCCCTTGTAGGGGGTGTGAAGATGCCTGGCGGTACCCAGGGATGGTGGCATGCCCCAAGACTCCTGGTACATCCCCAGACCCTTCAGCATATCCCCGCAGCCCCTGCTATGTCCCCAGACCCTGCCCCCCTCCCCATATGCATTTTCCCCATAGCCTGAGCCCCCTGGCTGGGGTGGGGGCCAGTCCCTCCTCCCCATCGGTGCTGAGGAATTCATTACCGGCACAGCTGGGCCCTGCTGGGGAGGCCAAGCTGCAAGGAAAATTAACCCCTTCCTCCCCAGGCTGCCGGCACAGGAGCACTCCCTGCCACAGCTGGCAGGAGAGACAGTCCCCTCCTGCATGGGGGCAGCTTTGCAAACGCCAATGTTTCCCCATCCAGCGTCTCCAGGCTTTTATTCACAAGGGAAGCTGGTGTGTCCCCTCCCCACATGGCCCTTGGGGCAGGGGGATTTCTCTGCTCCCCCCGTGGAGGAGCCCCCCAGACCTGTGCCCTGGGGCTGGAGGGGGCGAGGGGGCATCCCTCAGTCCTGGCTTGGCTCCTGGGAGCCCCCCTGCCCCGGGATGGGCGTTCCCACCCCAAACCCTGTAACTCAGCCTTGCCCCCAGCTCTGAGCACCCCCAGGGCTTTTGCCCTCGTGGGGCAGGGGCGGAAGGACCCGGGCTGCCCCCGGTTTGTTAGAAAGGTTTTATTTCTCTGTATTTACAGACTTCATTAAAAAAAATAAACAACAAATCCCTGCCCTTCCCTCTCCCCACGGCACTGCCCACCCACAGCCCTGCCCTGGGGGTGGGGGGCGTTACTGGCCACGGGGCACAGGACTCCAAACGCGGGTGCGCGGAGGGGCAGCGGGCGGGGGGCACCCTCCATTCACACCGACACCCCCAGACGCCGCGATTCCTGCTGCAGAGGGCCGAGCCGAGCTGGGGGGACACAGGCCAAGCACATGGGCTGCCCCATGCCGTACCCTCGTCTGCCCCGCGGGGCAGGAGGAGCTGCCCCCCGCCTGCCTGGGCCCCCCAGCACTCCCCGTGTCCCCCCGGCCCCAGGGCAGGAACGGTGGGCGTTTGGCTTTCAGGACGTGGCTCTACCGCAAAGCAGAGGAGATAAGGGGGGGACAAGGGGGTCCCCTGAGCACTGGGAGCCCTTGGGGGGGGTCGATGGCTGCTTGGGGGAGGCATATAAAATCTCATAAATTAAAGGAGACACCAGGGGAAGGAGGGTTGAGATGACCTCCCACAGGTCAGTGCCGGGACTTTGGGGGGCTGAACCCCCCAGCTGTGCGCCCAGAAGAGATTGGGGCTGGCAGGGGGAGCCCCCCGCCAAGCCCTCTGCTATATGTGGGTCTGGGGGTGTCCGGGGGGTTCACAGGGCTCCCCACAGTCCCCCCTGCAGCCAAAGCCCTTCTCAGGTTCCAAGCTGGGTGTGAAGGCAATAAAGGGGCTGGGGTAGGGGGGCTGGGGCACACAGGTTTGTCTTCTCTCTGAGTCCAGCATCCTTGTGCAAAGCCCTGTGCCCGCCCTGAGCACAGACAAAGGAAGCAACCGCCTCTAGAGAAATAAGGAGATTCCCCCAAAGCCACCCCGGAGGCTCCCGGCAGCGCCAGCAGCGGGTCACTGGTTGTCCCCGGGCTGGTACTGGGGCTCGGTGGCAGTGAAATAGTCCTCGAGGAAGGACTGGAGGTACTCGAAGGTGGGGCGCTCCTCGGGCTCCCTGCGCCAGCACTGCACCATCAGCTCGTGCAGGGAAGGGGGGCAGCTCCCCGGGCACTGCATGCGGTACCCCCGCTCCACCTGCTCCAGCACCTCGCGGTTGTTCATCCCTGCGGGACAGGGACCCTGTGCTCAGGGACAGCACCCTGTGCCTCGGACGCGCCAGAACTGAGGGGGAAACTGAGGCACACAGTGGCACTGCCCTGCGGTTTGGGTGGGAGCCCAGTTCAGCACTGGTCCCTCTGAGGGGGAAACTGAGGCACGGCTGAGGAGGTCAGCCCCTGTCTGTGCCCTGCCCGGCCCACCCCGGGGGTGCACCTGCCCCAGGGGCCGCACCTGGATAGGGCACGCGGCCTTTGGTCACCAGCTCCGTCAGGAGGATGCCAAAGGACCAGACATCCGACTTGATGGTGAACCTCCCAAAAAGCGCAGCCTCCGGAGCCGTCCACTTGATGGGGAACTTGGCACCTGCAATGGGACACAGGTGAGCCATGGCTGGGCTGCACCTGCACCCAGAGCACCCTGCACCTGGTGCACTCACCTCTGGCGACAGCCCACACCTGGACATGCCACACCAGAGGCGCCATCGCCTGAACTGCCCCTGCTGAGGGTGTCCTGCCCCCGGGGTACCCTGAACGGGGGGCACCCTGCACTAGGGGCACCCCCTGCCTGGGGCAGCTCACACATGGAACACCCAGCACCCAAGGCACTGGGGATACCCCGCCCCTGGGGTACCCATCACCTGGGACATCCATCATCCAAAATACCCACACCCTGGGCACCTGGACCTGGGGGTACCCATTCCCTGGGGCACCCATACCCTGGGGTGACCCAAGGCATCCATCACCTCAAATACCCATAAATTTGGGGTGTCCATCACCCCATTCCCTGGCACACCATAACTTGGGGCATCCAAGCCCCGGTCACCCAGCCCCGGGAGGGCCATCTCCAGGCTAGGGGACACTGTGGGCGCTCCCACCCTGCCGAGCCGTGTACTCATCGTCCTCGATGAGGCGCGCGAGGCCGAAGTCAGCGATCTTGCAGACGAGGTTGTCTCCCACCAGGATGTTGGCAGCACGCAGGTCCCGGTGGATGTAGTTCATGCGCTCGATGTACGCCATGCCCGCCGCAATCTGGGGGGGACGGAGCGCTGGAGACCCCAGGACACCCCGGGGCGCCCCCCACCCCGCACCAGCCCCCCTTACCTGGGCAGCCATGTCCACCAGCTGGGGCAGCTTCAGGTAGCGCCCGTCCCCGTCCTTGAGGAAATCCAACAAGCTGCCTGCAGGCAGAAGGAGTCTGTCAAAGACCCCCAAACCCACGGGTGCCCTCCCTGTGAGCCCTCCGGGCAGTGCCCCCGCTGACCCTGGCTCATGAACTCGGTGACGATGTAGATGGGCTCCTCCGACACCACGGCATAGAGCTGCACCAGCTTGTCGTGCCGCAGCCGCTTCATGATCTGGGCCTCCTCCAGGAAGGCCTCGGGGGACATGGTCCCCGGCTTCAGCGTCTTCACTGCCACCTTGGTGGTGCCATTCCATGTCCCTGCATTGGGGACGCAGAGTCACCATGAGCCCAGGGGACAGCCAGCCCAGGACAGAGGGCTGTGTGATGGAGAGGTGTGTGCATGCATGCCTGTGTGAGTGGATGGATGGATGGATGGATGAATGATGGATGGATGAGGAATCAGGGCAGGGCAAGGCAGGGATCCCTGGGCAGGGATTGTGATCCCACTGCATCCCACCCAGGACAAGGAGTTCCCCTCACCCCCGTGCCAACCTCACCCCATTCCCAAACCCTTCGTGGATTCTGTGCCAGTTTCAATCTCCCCCACACAAGCAGGTACCTCCTGGCATCCTGTGGTGCTCCCTGCCAGGACAGAAGGAAGCTTCTCCTGCCCGCTGTGCTCCCCAGCCCTGGCCAGGCGGGCCAGCCTTACCCATCCACACGTCTCCGAAACATCCCATGCCAAGTTTCCTGTCCAGGGTGACGGATTCCCGAGCTATCTCCCAGGCATCCTTAGCTAATCCCAGGGTCTGGGGCTTCACGGCAGGGCACGGGTGGGTGAGCAGATGGCACAACCCGTCATTGTACTCTGCAGGGGACGGGGGGCAGGCAGGGAAGAGGAGGGAGGGGATGTGATGGGATGAAGGCAGCATGCATGAGTGGAGGAAGCAGATGATGCCAGAGGAAGAGGATGACGAAGGTGGGACCCCCTGGCCTGGTGCTGTGGTCCCATCTGCAGTGGGGGTCTGCTTGCCCATGCAGAGGTGCCATGGGGCATCCTGGGGGACCCATGTGAACCCAGAGCAGGACATGGGATAATTCCTCATGCCAGCAAATCGGTGTCTCTCAGCCTGTCCTGGCAGGCACGAGCTTTTCCCAGTGGGCCACCAGGCCTGGGGGTACCCCCATGTCCCCCCTGCCTCTTGCCTGGCTTGCCCACCAGGCCCTACCCATCCAGACTTCCCCGAACTGCCCATTCCCCAGCTTCTTGAGGAGCTGGAGGGACTCGCGGGGGATCTCCCACACGTCTTTGGTTTTGACTGAGAGGTCGGCCAGTTTGGGGGTTCCCTTGTGGCACGGCACAGCCAGGCGGCAGCACAGCCCAGCCGCCCGCTCTGCAGCACGGGAGCAGGGAGGGGACAGGAGTCAGAGTGGGCACGGAGCCCCCACCCTCTGATCCCCTCCCACTGCCCCAGCATCACCAAGGCTCCTGTGTCACCCACTCACCCCCAGCCCTCTGCTCCCCTCCCACTGCCCCAGCACCACCGAGGCTCCTGTGTCACCCACTCACCCCCAGCACAGAAATGCACCCCCTCCACCTGCCCCAGGGACAGCTCTGCACCCCCTCGGCTGGGCTGGACCCCCCGTCCCCCCAGCTGCACCCGGGGTCATGCCCACCCACCAGAGACAACGGGAACTCCCTGCACCCTGGGCATGGAAAAGGGGCACTCAGGGAGCCCCCTAATGCCACCAACAGAACAGCCCCCTCCTTCCCCAGCTCAACCCCCTCAGCCCCATCTCTTATCAAAGGGTTTTCTGAGCTTTCCCTACCCCTCCTATTGCCCCGCTTGCGCCCCTCACCCCGCCCTACCTATATAGTGCTGGACCAGCTGCTGGACGGTGCTGAACTGGGCACGGGTGGTGATGTAGTACCCCCCACTGTCCAGCTTCCGAATCTTATAGTGCTTGACGTGGTCTCCCTTGGCCTCATCCCAGTCCCGGATGGAGAGGGAGTAGGCACCTGCGTGGGACAGGGGTCAGGGAGGGACGTGGGGCACAGCTCCTGGTGCCCCCAGCCCTGCGCCCGTACCTTTGGTGGTCTCGCTCTCCCGGATGAGGAAGGTGCCCCTGGAGTTGCCGTGGCACAGCAGCTGCCGCTCCGCGTCCTTGCGCCCGATCTTCCCAAAGTACCACCTGCCACAGTGAGGGGCCTCAGTGCCAGGAGGGGACCACGGAACCCCCGTGCCAGCACTGAGCACTGCCGGGGCTCACAGGGACACCCGAGGCAGGTGGGGTTGGGGTGTGTCTCCCTCCCTTGTCCCCACTACTCACTCTTCCGCCTGGATGGAGTCCACAGGGGCCACGTAGTTGCTGGGGATGTAGCCCGTGGCTCCTGAGCTCAGCGACCTGGCCTCCCACCAGTCCCCCTCCCTGGGCAGGGAAACAGAGAACGTGGAGGAGGAGGGACAGACAGACAGAAAGACAGACGGACAGACAAACAGACAGACCCGCCACCGTGCGCGTCCCCACCCTGCACGCAGCACCCCGGACCCTGCTCTCCCCCACCCAGCTCACGGCCCTGGCCCCGGCGCTGAGTGATGGAGCCCAGACAGAGCTTGGGTCCCCAGCCTGGCTCCTGGGGGGCTACCCGAGGCACCAAGGCCCCTCTCCGGGGTGGCATGGGGGCGCTGGGGGCTCACGTGTTGTTGATGATGTGGAATTTCTCCCCTTTCTGGAATGTCAAGTCATCCTCCGTCCTGGCCTCGTAGTCGTACAGGGCGATGAAGAGCGTCACCCCCCCGCCTGCGGCACACGGAGGGGACGGCGGTGAGCCCGGGCAGGGCTGCCTGCCTGCCTGCCTGCCTGCCTCCCTCCCTGCTTCCCTCCCTGCCTGCCTGCCTGCCTGCCTCCCTCCCTGCTTCCCTCCCTGCCTCCCTCCCTGCCTCCCTCCCTGCCTGCCTGCCTCCCTGCCTCCCTCCCTGCTTCCCTCCCTGCCTGCCTGCCTGCCTGCCTCCCTCCCTGCTTCCCTCCCTGCCTGCTTCCCTCCCTGCCTCCCTGCCTGCCTGCCTCCCTCCCTGCTTCCCTCCCTGCCTGCCTGCCTCCCTGCCTGCCTCCCTCCCTGCTTCCCTCCCTGCCTCCCTGCCTCCCTGCCTGCCTCCCTGCCTCCCTGCCTGCCTGCCTCCCTCCCTGCTTCCCTCCCTGCCTGCCTCCCTGCCTCCCTGCCTGCCTGCCTCCCTCCCTGCTTCCCTCCCTGCCTGCCTCCCTGCCTCCCTGCCTGCCTGCCTCCCTCCCTGCCTCCCTGCCTGCCTCCCTCCCTGCCTGCCTCCCTGCCTGCCTGCCTGCCTCCCTCCCTGCCTGCCTCCCTGCCTCCCTGCCTCCCTCCCTCCCTGCCTCCCTGCCTGCCTGCCTGCCTGCCTCCCTGCCTGCCTGCCTCCCTGCCTGCCTGCCTGCCTCCCTGCCTGCCTCCCTCCCTGCCTGCCTCCCTGCCTGCCTCCCTGCCTCCCTCCCTGCCTCCCTCCCTGCCTGCCTCCCTCCCTGCCTCCCTGCCTCCCTCCCTGCCTGCCTCCCTCCCTGCCTCCCTGCCTCCCTGCCTGCCTCCCTGCCTCCCTGCCTGCCTCCCTCCCTGCCTCCCTCCCTGCCTCCCTGCCTGCCTCCCTGCCTCCCTGCCTGCCTCCCTCCCTGCCTGCCTCCCTCCCTGCCTCCCTGCCTCCCTGCCTCCCTGCCTGCCTCCCTGCCTCCCTCCCCGCCTCCCTGCCTCCCTGCCTCCCTGCCTCCCTGCTTCCCTCCCTGCCTCCCTCCCCGCCTCCCTGCCTGCCTCCCTCCCTCCCTGCCTCCCTGCCTGCCTCCCTCCCTGCCTGCCTCCCCGCCCCGAGCCGCCCGCTGACCTGAGAGCGGCCCGCTCCGCGCCGGCAGCCCGCCGGAGGGCAAGGCCCCGGGCTCCGCCAAGGACGGGCCCGAGGGCAGCGCCGGCCCCTGGAAGTTGTTGAAGTCGGGGATGCGGGTGAAGATGGCCCCCGGCTGCGTGGGGTCGGGGTCGTACTGGGAGGCAGGGGGCTGCAGGGAGCCCCCCTCGCCCCCCGCCTGCCCCTTGCCAGCCCCCCTCTCTTTGCAGGGCACGCAGCCCATCCTGGGCACCGCCTGTGGGACAGAGGGTCCGTGAGCCCCGCGCCCCCCTGGCGGGGGGCACACACGGGGCCAGCGCACACATGGAGAGGCCCTGGGGCGCCCTGCCACCCCCCAGCTCGCACACCGGACAGCAGGGGGACACGGGGTCCCCGTGGGCCAGTGGCGCTGCTGCAGGAGGGCTGTGCTGCCCGGGGGACCCCACGATGTCCCCCGGCACCCGTGGGTGCTCCACGGCGGCCCCACTCACTGCGACGGCTCCTCTGGTCACTCCAGCTGCTCCATGGCACTCCAGGGAGGAGAAGAGTCGCCTGTGGACACCAGGGAGGGCATCAGGTGGGGGCAACACCCTTGCAGGGGTTCAAACACTCTCTCCATGGGCTGTAACACCCCTCCATGGGATAAAATCCCCCTGTACAGGCTGCAACACCTCTGCATGGGCTGAAGCACCTCTTCCAGGGCTGCTGCACCCCTGCACATGCTGAAACACTTCTACCAAGGGCTAAAATACCCCTGAATAGATTGAAACACCCCATGACAGGATGCAACACCCCTGCTATGGGCTACAACACCTCTACACGGAGTGCAACACCAACGGCACGGGCTGCAACACCCCTTGCATGGCTGTAACACCCCTGCCTGAGTTACCACACCTTGCACAGACCGAAGCGCCGTGCACAGGCTGTGATACCCCTGCACGAGCCACAATACCCCTGCATGGGCTACAACAGCCCTTCACAGGCTGCAACCCCCCTGCATGAGCTAAAATGATCTGCATGATCTGCAACACCCCCACAAAGCTGCAGCATTCCTCCGAGGGCTGCAACACCCCGGTGTGGGCTGAAACCACATCCTCCAGTGGGTTTTTCTCTCACTGCGTCCTCACCACACTGCTCACGTCCTTTCAGGCCATGTGTGTCCCAAGGCTGAAGGGGAGCCAGACCCCAAAGCGTCCCCATCCCCACAGCCTCTGCTTGGTGGGTGTGGGTGTTTTAGGGAGCGAGGTCCCCGCTCACATCGCTGTGGTCAGCACAGGCTCTTCCGGCCACATGTGGTGAGAGAGAAGGTGTCACAGAGGAGGAGGGGGAAATCAGACCTCTCCTGTCATGGCTGTATGGAGACGTCCATCCCCAGCCCTGTTATTGCCCTGGCTGCTGGACAACCACCCACGCCAGTCTGCAGCATGGCTCTGTCTCCAGCTGAGAGCAGAGGGAAGCAGCAGGAAGGTGTCCTGCCCTCTGCACTCCAGGAGCAGGAGGAGACAAAGGTTTGCGGTGGATGAGATGTTTCAGGCAGGTTTTCCCAATCATGGTTATTGATTCCCTTTCTTCTCTCTCAGTAGGGGTGGAAAGAGCCCAGCTCTCCCCTTCCATCTCTGCTTTCCACACTGGTGGTGTGGCAAGGCTGCAGCCGTTGCCAACAGGGCAGCGTTGCCAAATCTGAGGAAACTCGGCTGGTTGGGGGTTTTATTCCTGATAATTAGTGGCTATTTAAACTGATGAACAACCCTGGCTCTCACAAACCCTGTCCCCCCTGGGTGGGAATCATCTCCTCTACACATTCAGAAACTTCCCATTTTGCAGAATTTCAGCGCTGACCAAGCAGTGGAGCTGCCACAGGTGCCAGCAGGGACAGGGATGGCAAGGAGCACCTTCCAGTCAAGTGGAACCCCCTGTGCCCCATGGAGGGTTTAGGTGATGTGCAGCAGCATGGCACCCAGGCTTCCCCTTCCCTGCACACCCCAGAGCCCCCGAGCTCACCCCGGGGCAGCTCCGTCCCCTCGCTGCCCACGGGGAGGGGACGCAGCGGGTGCCGTGTCCGACGGCTGCACGGCGGTGTCTGGCTCCGGCTCTCCCCAAAAGGAGCAGATGGCAGCTGAGCCCTTCCCGAGCTGCCAGGTCCCGCCCGCGCTGAGCCCCGGCCAATTCCTCACCCCTGTCCCGCCGGGCAGGGCTGGGCACGGAGCAGCCACAGCCCCGGCTGCCCCTCCATCTGCTCCCCGGGCCCCTGGGACACGGGGCAGCTCAGCCCCATCCCCAGCTGCTAGGCAGGGCACAATGTCCCTTGCGCACCCCATTGTCACCCCACATGCCCCCCACAGTGCTGAGGTACCCCTGGGGTCACCTGCCTGCCCTGCACCGTGGGGTAAGTCAGGCTCTGGGGGGATGCAGCCACACGGAGCCATGTGGGGTGCTGGGAATGTCACACCCCGTGCCGTGGGGACAGCCGTGGTGGCATTTGCCGGGCTGAGGGGCCCACGGCGCCCTGGGCAGGAGGTGGCTGCCAGAGGAACTCACACAGCAGCCAGGCAGTGGGAAGAGGAAGCAGCAGGAGCACGGTGTGGGCTGGGGGGAGGAAGAGGATGGTGCTGTGGCCAGAAGGGCCCACAGGACGGGCAGGACCTGGTGCCCTGGGGATGGTGGCAGCAGGGAGGACAGCAGGGCTGCAGCCCCCTGGCTGTCCTGGATCCCACACTGACACCCTGCATTGCTCCGTGCAGACCCGGCTCCTGCTCCCTGGGAAGAGGAACCGAGAGGGCTGCACAACCCAGCCTGGTGCCACCGAGGTTCCTCTGTCCCCCTGTGGCTCTGGAGCTCCCTGGGCCCAGCAGGAAAACCTGGGCATGAGGCAGCTGCAGGGCAGAAGGGGAAGGTGGATCACTGGGACACAGCACCTGGAGCTGTGTCACCGTCCCATGCCCAGGACCCCACAGACCTGGGGAGGGGACAGGAGCCCACATCTGCTCCTTGTTCCAGCTCTGTGGCTGGTGGTGGCGTGTCCCTGCGCCTTCCCCACTGCCCCCAGCCCCAGGGCCACCCCGATGATACCTGGAGTGGAGCCCTGCTCCAGCTCCAGCCCTCGCAGTTCACCCAGTGCCTGGCGAGCCCCCTGTGGCTCCCGGTGGGAGCAGGCTCCTCCAGAACAAGGGGTGCGCGGAGAGATGGCCCCCATCCCCTGCATGCCCACAAGCAGGGCTATTCCCTGGGATGAAAATTGAAGGACTTGCCATCCCCCAAAGCGATCTTCTCTGCAAGGCCACCTGTCAGCCACAGGGCCCACGGCAGAGGGGTCCCCTGCCCCCCTCCCTGGCTCAAGATGCTCAGTGGAGAGGGAGCCCCCCTTGCCCAGGCTTCCAGCCCCATCGCTGGCTGGGAAAGCAGGATTTCCGCTGGAAGAAGAGCAATTCCCGGATCCAAGGGGCTGCAGGGGCGGAGGGAGGGAGCCGGCCAGGGCTCCAAATACAATGTCCCGGGAGGAGCGGGGTGGGGAGGGAATTGTGCAGGGCAGGAAGCAGCGAGTTCCTGTCCCTCCTTGGGACACACGAAGGATCAGGGACGAAGCAGAGCTGCAGGGACCGGGGGGAGCATCCGCCCCGGCCAGGGCCTGAGCCCCTGCAGCTCCCCGAGCCTCAGCCACGAGAGCTCAGCCTGCAATAAAGCGCTGGCGGGGCTGGGAGCCCACGGGCACCTGCGGGGACGGAGGGCACAGGTGTGCGTGTGTCCTGTCCTCTCCCCAGCCTGCGGGTCCCGCACGGTGAGGGCTCCATGTGCTCTGCAGGCTCCCCGACGTGGTGTTAATCCCAGTTAGTGCCGGGATGGTGAGCTGGAGCTGGTGGGTGCCCCGGACCTTCACACACACCCCGCAGCCCCCAGACCTTCACACACTGACCTGCTGCCCCCCGGGATGGTGAGTTGGAGCTGGTGGGTGCCCCGGACCTTCACACACACCCCGCAGCCCCCAGACCTTCACACACTGACCTGCTGCCCCCCGGGATGGTGAGTTGGAGCTGGTGGGTGCGCCGGATCTTCACACACACCCCGCAGCCCCCAGACCTTCACACACTGACCTGCTGCCCCCCGGGATGGTGAGGACGAGGGTCTCCTCCCACCCCCGGGCATTCCCAGGGAAGCAGGGAGGGCACAGTGAGAGCAGCCCCCCAGCAGTCCCCACCAGTGTCGCGGGGCTCTGTCCCCCAGCTCAGGGGCCGCCTCCCCCGGGACCCCCGCACACGGAGGGGGCATCTCCCAGCAGCGCAGGGCCAGGGGACCGAGACCCCCGCGCTGTGCCAGGGCTGAGCCCCGCACCCTGCCCCTCACAGCGCGCACGTACCTCCTGCCGTCAGCGCTCCTGTCCGGCCGGCATGGACCCCTCCCCTCGCACGGGGCTCCCTCCGGGACCACCGGGCAGCCCCGCTCGGGCCGCGCCGGGACTGCGGGGGCGGCGGCCGTGGGAGAGCGGGAGCGCCCGGCCGAGAGCTTCCCCTGTCTCTGCTCGGCTCTGGCAGCCGAGCAAGAGCTTCCCCTCCCCTCGCCCCCCCTTCCTCCCCGCGCTCGCAGCAATGGTTCATTGTACCAGCCGGCCCCGCCGCTGCGGATCGCCCTCCGGGTCACCCCCGGGCCGCCGCGGGCACCGCAGCCACGGCAGGAGCAGCGGCAGGGGCTCTGGGGTCTCCAGCAGCACCGGGAGACACCGGCGGGGATTGCCGGGCTCTGCCTGCGGGGATTCACGGGGGACGTGCGGGTCCAGCCCGCGCCGCGGCGGGGCCGCCCGCACCCGTCCCCAAAACCGGGCACAGCCTCCCCGAGACCCCCGAAGGAGCGCCCCCGGCAGGGCACAACAAAGGGACATCAAACTGAGCACAGAGCGCTGTGGCCCTGCAAGGACAGGAGCAAGGGGCCCGTCTGGTGGCAGGACACGCACAGAGCCACCCGTCCTGCTGGCACAGGCTCTCGGGGGCAGTGAGCAGCCCACCATGCCTAGGGAATGGCAGGTAGCTCTGGGTTGTGTTCCAGGGGCATCCCACACGTCCCCCCAAGATGGGGTGCAGCTCCTATGTGGCTCAAGCCAGTCCTGTGTCCGTGGATTGCCTCCTAGACATCAAACTCCTCATTTACCCCTTGTCCTCATAAAGTTGCTGGTGGGATGACCCCAGGATTTGGCATCGGTCACACCAAGCCACAAACTTCAGTGAGCTCTGGGATTGAGGTAAACCATGCAGACCTCTGAGTGCCCCTGCACCTCCCCTGAGCCCCCCGCACCCTGTGTGATCCCCGTGCCCCCTGACAGAGCCTCCCCAGCCCTGTCTGAGCCCCCCGCACCCGGAGTGATCCCCCTGCACCCTGTTTGAGCCCCTCCCCATCCTGTGTGATCCCCCTGCATCCTGTCAGAGCCTCCCCAGCCCTGCCTGAGCCCCCTGGAGCTGGCTTTGTCCCGGCTCTGCCACGCTGTCCTCCCTCACAGCTGGAGTGGGATCCTTCCCATCTCTCCAGAGCCTTCCTCCTCCTCCTCCTGCTCCTTG